TGTGTGTGTGTGTGTGTGTGTGTGTGTGTGTGTGTGTGTGTGTGTATGTGTGTTCTTTGTAACACTGATAATTATACAACCAGAATTGAATCGTCCAATTAATTTTTGTAGGATTGTGTTTCATATTCGATATTTTGCAATGCGCATTCTTATCATTAGTAAAATTGTTAATGCTGTTTAGCAATCATATCGTACTTCATAAAATATTGCTTAATGAGAGAGTGCAAATAAATGAGTACGAAACATTGTTGCATATACATAAAGTACCATCTAACACTGCAGACTATATAAGCTGAATGGAGTTTGATTAAAACGTGTAGCGTGTGTGAGTGAGTGTTTAAATTTAGATCATTGCAATTGCTCGCGACCCTAGTGAAACCGTAAGTCATTCTCAAAGGAAATATAAGTTTGGTCTTTTCTAAAGAGATCAATCTTATATCTTTAAGTGTATTCAATTAGAAACACTTGCGTTTCATAAATCTGAGCAAGATATAAAATGTATATATGCAATATGTAATTAAGTCTTCTTTAAACGAGTAGTCTTTTATGAATTTCAACATAAATCTGATAAACTGTTAGTAGCGTTTTAAATAGTCTATTAAATAACTATAATGTAGTAATTGTAAATAATCATTATATAGCTATTAAGTTTAGCTATTAAATTATTAAAACTATGAACATCACGAATTTTTAAAAGTAGAAAAAGATAAGTGGTATATTCATGCAATATAAAATCGCCGACGATTCTGTAATTATATAACACGCTATGTACGATAAAGGAATTCCGTGAACAAGGGCATTGACATAGGGTCAATAACAGATGTCAAACACGATCAACTCGTATAGCCGACCACTCCAAAATATAGCATTTGAAATCATTTGATCTCTGACCCATCTTATTAATCTATGATCACAAAGTATTAAATATTAAATATATATTAAGTATTATATTAATAAATTATATATTAGTTTACAATACTTATGTTAGACAAATAATTTATTCTTAGTAATGAACTTTATTGCAATCGTGATGATATCGATACACATCCAGATTAACACGACACAAAAAAAATATATAATATATAATGTAAATAATAATTAAACATGTAAATATACAATGCTACAAGTTCATCACATATTACATTATTAAACGAATTACATTTACACTAACTTTTTAAATTATTTTTCTTTTAAGATGAATGCAAATAAGACGAAAATATAATTATATAACACGGCATTGCCGCATGCATTTGGACTCAAATAGTAACGTAAAAGTTACTTTCTACTTGTGATATTACTTTATACTTACTGTGCACTTTCTTTTTACTTTTGTTAGAAGATATATAAAACTACATGACATTCATAGAATAGCCACGATATTATTATTCAGGTAGGAGATCATCACCAAGTTCCTCGTCACCAAAATCATCGTCTCGTTTCCCAGCCGCTGTCATTGGACGCGTAGGAAGAGGTCCTATAGGATCTACGTAATTCGTACCTATAGCGACAAATTAATTAAAATGTCCACGATTCTATCAACTTCAATAAGTTAAGTTATGTAGTCGCGAATTCCAAGTATATGAGAAACAAGTTCTTAACCTCCGATAACATTTTTTTTAATTCTCGATTCGCTTTATAACACGCATGTAGATAAGTGTGACATTTTAAAAAATAAGACAATTTTAATAGAAGTTATTTAACAAGGACTGCACAAAATTGCATTGATTTCAAGCCCGCTGTACCTTCTGTACAAGTTATAAATGTAACAAATGTGTCCTGACAAAATCTATCTCTAGATTCATAACTCGAATCGGTTCCATAACGATTTGCCGAATATTAAGTGATAAAGAGAGCATACGAATAGACTAGTCAAAGAGAATGCGGCCATCTATCATGTATGTAATCCATTAGAGTTCACGCGCTACCTGTAAATCACTCTTACTGATGTTTGCTTTCAATAGAACTGTGCAATGCTAAATCACTACCAACTATTTGACTGTTATATTTTGATCAAAGATCATAAAATGTTGAGTTCACATGATAGACAACCTTATGAAAATTTATATAGTATTTATATAGTATTTGTATAGTACCTCAATCAACAGACATATATGAAAGAAGCGATTATATTAAATAAAATATTTTTAAATAAATTTCTAACATACCTTGATAATCATTCCGGTCTGCAATTGGTCGTCGATCCGGGCTTGGCCTGCGATCTGACATTACACTCAGTCCTGAACCAGCTCGCGATGATGTCCCGCTATTACTCTTTCTAGATCCTAGATAAAATATATAATTAAATCTAGTTATGATGAATTAAAGAACAATGGATAATTAATATTTTTGGACATATTCAAATAAACACAATATTTAAGTAGCAACTGAGATTATAAAAAATAATCCATTTTGAAGTTGCATGTATATTCTAATAGTCCTAATTCTATACATAATATATGCGTACTTCGTACATAATATAATCACTCTCGTTACTCGAATATTATTCTTAACTTGTTAATTATATTTCTTTAACGTATGCGTCTATCGTACCTGGCCTTGCCGACCCTTGTCTATCTTTTAGTTCTTTAGCCTTCTCAGCTTTCTTCAATTCAGTTGCATATATCTGTGCTTCTTTCAAACCCAGATCGCTACATAGCCTAACTAAAAATTTCAAGCATTCTATGTTATCTGGAAATTTATTGTGAATGTCTTGATACTCTGTGAGAGCTTTATGAAATTGACCAGTGCGCCTTAAACATGCGGCAACCAATAACCTCCATCTGGGTTCATCTGGTGCGAGTTCTACAGCTTTTTCGAAATACGTTAAAGCTTTTTCAGCAATCTTAAAGAGAAAATTAGGGAAATACACACAGCATTGTAAATTTATTATATAGAAAGCAATATAATGCTAATAGTTGAAATAGTGTAGAAAAGTTAATACTATACCTGCATCGATATAAAATAGGATCCCAACCAGTCTATTACTTCAAAGTTAGCAGGAAAGAATCGGTGAGACTGTAGCAGAGCACAATTAATGAATACAAGTAGGAATGGGAATACTAATATACCAATGTAGTTAAGTAGAACTAATCAACAAATGGAAGTAAGATACTTACATCACTGTAAAACTGAAACGCCTGCTGCTTATCTCCAATTGAATCATACATTTCTCCTAACTTTTGCAAAACTCCTGGATCAGATGATATTATGCCTAACAATTGATTATACCTGCAACATATTGGATATTAGGTTCGACTCAATTATATACATAAATCATTGTAAAGTTACTGCTATGTAGTAAAAAAATACGAAAAAATACATAAAATACAGAGATAATTTAATTTAGCAGAATACCATTCAGACGCTTGATCGACATCATTCATCAGCTGATATAAATGACCAAGCTGATATAACGTTTCCGGATCATGTCTAACAATATTACGAACTTTCCAAAAGCATTCTAAAGCTTCTTCATACATGTTCTGTTTTTTGTAAACCAAACCTATAAAGAACATATTAATGATCATTTAGAATTTGTGGATTAGGATAAAAATCATCATATTAATAATATAAATTACCTAGATTGTACAAAGCCTGTACATGACTAGCATCTGTTTCTAGCGCGCACAACAGCAATTCTCTAGCAATATTAAATTCATCTTTTTTAATTGCACAAGCAGATAAATTAACATAAGCTGCTGCATTATAAGCATCGGTATTACGAGCTGCTTCACCATATTTTTCCGCTTGATCGTAATCTCCTTGCTAAAAAAGAAAAAAATTTTTTTATGAACTTAAGAAATAAATCAAACATCTACAAACATCTACAAACATTTATTTACCAAATAGTAAATGAACGAAAGCATAGTTGCTGCTGCACTGTTAGCTTTAGTGTCCCGATTTTCGAACATTTTTAATGTATCTATAGCCAGTTGAGTTTCTCGATTAAGTAAAAATACCATGGCTTTGTTTATTTCTAAATCAGCAGCTAAGAAACTGTAAGCTGAGGATTTTATGGCATCAACACACCTGAAAAAACAAAATTGTGTAAATCTATATTATATTTTTTGAAACGTAATATTTTTTTATGTATTATAATTATATTTGAGATATACCAAGCAAACCCAGCTGTAAGTGTATCTTCAATAACGGGTGCTATAAGTTTTGCTGCACAAAGTATAGTCTTTTCTGCTTCTAACTTCATTTCTTTTTCCAGCTTTGACAAATCATCATTTTTTATAACTTCATTCAATATATTAGATGCAGCGTCATCCTAAATATAAACAAAAAAATTTATATACAAATAAATTTTTACGTACAAACTTATATCCTCAGGTTCTATCGCATGTTTACAAATAGAGATATTTCCATAAGTATTTGAGAAAAGTAAAAGAAACAAACAAAACAGAAAGAAGAATCTAATAGTGAGTATTAAATATTTGATGAAAAGAGACAATCATTATAAATGTGTATGTGAAATATGTGCATTTTTATGTGGATTATGACTGGCGCATACTGTGATACATAGTGGTGCAAGTATTGAATATTTTTTGAGAAACATGTAGTTTTAGAAAAGAAAAGTATATCGGGACTAACTCACAGGATTTATACTGTATTTGTCTTCTTGATCTACATTAAGTTGTACCTCTAATAATTCAAAAAACGCTTTTTTCATCTTATCGCGATGAGATAACGCGAAATGACATAAAACAGCATGTAAACCCGCTTTAAATTCAGGTCTCTCTCTCATCACCCATTCAAAACTATTAGCTGCCTCTTCTAATCGACCCATTTGTACAAATAACATTGCCATGTTATGCATTATTTTTATTCTGTGAAATATTTACCCGATTAATGTAGTTATTGTTAATATAATATGAACAGTCATTCTACACAGTAGTTTTCAATTGCAATTAGACTTATATATATTCACCTTAAATCCTTATGGACCGTTGGAGCTTGATCGAATGCCATCCTATACATTTTAATGGCCTGAGATAGTTGTCCCATTTTCACATAAATATTACCCATGTTAACTTTCAATCTGGCACTATTGCTAAACATTCTGTTCCTTGTTATAGCCTGATAAGTTGCTATAGCCTCTGTATACATCTCATTGTTTGTGTATTGAATTGCCAAGTTAAATAGTACCTATTAAGAAATAAGTTGGAAGTCTGAGTAAAAAAAAAGCAAACAGTAGTGAGAAATTATAGTGACTTAAAAAATTTACAGCAAATGTCAAATCTATATTATGATTATCACTGAGACCAGCTTGTTCCTGCAGTCGTATAAGAGCTCTTTCTCTTGAAGAAGCTTCACGTGCACGTTCTAAAGCAATCCTCATATTGTTTTCTGAAGCTGACAGAGAAGAGCTTTCTATTAGACTCATTATCTTTCTTTCTGTTGCTCTTATTTTTTCTTCTGGCCTTAAATAACAAAAATATAGACAATTATTATATAATCTTTCAATGATGCATATAGAATATGAAAAATGTAATATAGTGCACAGATAAATATCTTCATGGATACAAAATCTTACGTGTCCTCTTTATTAGCTTCTAATGGTGGTGCGGGAACTTTAGCACTGCTACTCATATTGAGAGGATCAAAAGTTTGTCTGCTACTACTAGTATATCCAGCACTTCTAACTGCTGTCATAGGTCTAAGTCCAGCAGTCATAGGCTGTATGGATGTAGTAGTACCACTTCTCTGAAACTAAGAAAACAAAAGTTTGAAATATAACATGACAAAATTTTTATAATATTGTTTTCATATTATGCACTATTGTATATTTTTAACAGCTTACTTACTCTGCTTGATGTTCCAAAGCGCATTGCACTTCCTGGTGCCTTTGGAGTAAACTATCAACAGATATTCACAAATATTTTAAAAACAATAATTAATAAATACTTATTTAAATTTTTGTTAGAAGTATGATAATGACAATATATTTTGTATAAAATATTACTAATATGGGCTACATTTCTAGTAAATATTACTCAAATATTTTTATACAAAGTATAAATGACTATAGTCATTAGTATAAATGACTATAGTCATTAAGTATAAATGGCTATTACATATATTATATAAGTATATATTATACTTACAATTGATCTTTTCCCATAACTTGTCTTAACAACTTCCTGAAATAACTCATCCTGTTCAAGTTCCTTGATATTATATACAGATGGATAGTCATTATATCCTGCATAAATGTCATCCTCAATTGCTGCTGCAGCCATGGTCTTCTATACCGTTATATTATTAAATTTATAAGTCATTTTTTAGTGATTTTTATATATATATAATGTAAATATGCTAAATATATGCTTTTAATATGAATTATTTGGACGAATTAAAAACATAAAACAAACCTGTTTTTCTTCTTTTAGTGCATTTTAAATTATAACACAACGAAAATAATTTTTTATTACGTCCGACAGTTATAAGCAAAGGGTCTCTCTCTCTCTCTCTCTCTCTCTCTCTCTCTCTCTGTATATAAGTCCAGACACCTAATAAAATTTCTGCCCCAACGTCACTCAACGTTGAAAAATGTGTATTATGTTAATTTGTGGCAATACCACTCTTCGATTAATAAATTAAAGTTTAAAGCCTTTGGAAATCATCCAAAATGTATCTCAAAAATCACAGGTCATACGTTCGAATAATGCGAACACATCTGTATATAGTAGCGGAATTTCTAAGCAAAGGATGACATATAAAAAGTGAATCGATATTCCGTTCTTCTTATTCTGCTAAAGGATCGATTATATTCCCGATCTTTCTATTTGATGTCCTTTGTTTTTATTTTTCATTAATATAATTAATCAATAGGTTAGAAAAAAATTTTATTACTCAGTAAAGAGAAAGAAAAATTTATCGCATCTGGGGCTCAATTCTTGATGGTGTGCGAATGAGATACGCATGCGAAAATCTACAGTATACGTAACGTGAACTATACATTTTCGCATGCGTATCTCATTCGCATACCGTCAAGAATCAAGTCCCTGATCTGCTCCTGTGTTCACGAGACTGCAAGAGCAGGAGCAAGACCATAGAATATTACAGTTATAGATGGGAGATTATACTATTCTCTCGGATCCAGATTTCACTCGCTCTGCTCTTGTTATCGTAAGCACCCTGTATTACAATAAGTTATGAAAACACAATTTCACACAATTCCACAATATTAGTATAAAAACAAAACTTATTATGTTTTATATATAAGTTATATTGTATTATAGGCAACTGACAACTATTGATTATATGGTTTGGTAATATAACCAATCGGGACGGAATATTACTATACAAAATGTTATCTATGCTATGCGTAATCTTTTACATTTTAGCCAAGTCTGTTGTTGATTTAAAAGTTCACATGAAAATGTCTTTCTTTGCAGGGAAAACACTAATATCCTCATAACTTGAAAATTCACGTGAAATTGTTTAATTTCCTACGGTTGACGCTAGAGGGATAATATTTGTATTAACCGT